TTATCTTCTCAAGGAGAGAACAGGGAACCAGTGTGTCCCCATCTCAGGGGCAGTACTTTGTCTCCTATCTCTCAGTGAGACCGGGAGAGACCAGCGTGTGTCCAGGTTGCAGGCGGGTAGGTCTTATCTGGAGCCACTTTGTCATAAAGTGGGTGGGGAAGGAAGATGGCTGCAGCTGTGCTAGCACTCCTCCCTTCTTGTTTTGATATTGGGGTCTAGGCTGGCTTATGGGGGGAGCTCTCTTCTTCTGGGGGCTACTTCCTGCCAGCATAGGAGAGGTGACAGGGATGGAGGCAGGACCTAAAGGAAGGTTTTGCTGTCAGGTGAGTAATTCTTCCAAAGCATCTTAGGACCGCTTGGTTGGTGAAGGTGCTGGTTCTTTCCATGATGGTTTCCTGTAAGAATCTGAAAACACACAGTAACACCAAGGCCAGGCGGAGAATGGCATGAGGGGTCCCAGAGGGGTGAGACCCAAGCAAGGGCAGGGTTCCACAGGCTGGTGGGAGGGGTCGGGAGGGAATTGCCAGAGAACCTGAGTTTAGGCTTAGCTGTTGGATTCTGTGAAGTTGGTATGTTTTGTTTTATCTTTCCTGAAAAACTAAGTCCTGAAAAAACTGGAAGAGGAGAGCGGGATTGACAGGCCTTGGAAGACCTGGGTCAGCGGCCAGCTCTGTCCATGAGAGGAAATTGATGTCACGAGAAGGGGAGAGGGAGTCAGTCCTCTGGACGATGTGGTTTTTGGGTGGTTCTGGTACTGGGCGAAGTCGGAGGCTTGTGTCCGTCTGAGCTGTAGGTGAGGGGTCCTGCTGGGGGTGCAGTGAAGAGAGGGGGAGGAGGTTTTGAAGGTTAGAGTGGGGGTCTCATCAGTGAGATCTGAAGGGAAAGAGTGCTGCTCTAAAGTATCCTGTTGATCCAGAAATGAGAGTATTCCAGTCTTGATAGTGGGAACAAGAGGGTAGGAAATGAGGGGTTCTGATCCATTGTAATGGCCTTGTGGGACGGGGTTGGCTGAAACCCAAGTAAGTGGCTATGGGAAGAGAGAGCTGACCTCAGAGGGGGAGACACGACGTCCACGTGAGGCCAAGACGTTTAGTAACTTGGCCGTGTGGGCTTTACTGTGGTCTAGGGAGGGACTGCAGAGAAGAAGGCCATGCAGGTATTGCAAGAGGAGTGACGGTGACAAGGATAGGTGGGAGGTCTTGGGCCAAAGCTTGTCTGAAAAGGTGGGAACCATCTCCAAAGCCCCGAGGAAGGACTGTCCATGCAAGTTGAGTGGACTCCTGGGTGTCTGGGTCAGTCCAGGTTAAAACAGAACAGTCTTGAGCATCTTGGTGTAAGGGAATGGAGAAGGAGACCCTCAAGGTCTAGGACAGAAACGTGTGCTTGTGGCAGCAGGACGGAGGACCAGCCAGAGTGAGAACTTGAACAAGGGGTGCACGAGACGACTGCTGTGTCCATCAGGCAGAGTATGGACCAGACGGAAGGCCTGAGGGCTCGTTTTTGCTTGTTTGTTTTGGTGGTGAGAGTGTGTGAGTTATAAGGAAGTCTGCAGAAGGCAATAGGTCTTCGGCTAGGAGGTGAGAAATGATGGGTCTGAGTCCCCTACGGCTGTTTAGGGGCAGTGAGTATGGGGATTGGGATGGAAAGAGATGAGTTTTTGAGTGTGATGTGAATGGGATCTTGATGTCTGGCTCCACGCCTCGGGATTGACCAAGGACGGGGACAAGGGTATTGATGAGAGGGTGGTTGCGGGTGCTAGAAGGAGGAGGAGTGGGAGTGGGGATGAGTCTGGGAGAGAGCCCCACATGGGAAGATTAAAGAAAATGGATGAGCCAGATTTGCTAAAGAGATCTCTACCTAGCAAGGGGAGAGAATGGGAGGAAGGGTCTCATGAATGGAGCATGTAAGAGGGGGGTTCTTAGTGGTGGTGTGTTTGCCTTCCACCCTGACAATGGAGGTCATGGAGGTAGAGTTGGGTCCCCCAAAGTGGACAAGTACTGAGAATGTAGCCCTGGTGTCCAAAAGGAAAGAGATGGGCGTACCTGCTCCTACAGTGTCACCCTGGTTCCCGCGCTGTGATGGTGGCTGTCCAGTGCTGGGATCCTAGGCCTGTCAGTCCCCGGAGCTAGTCCCAGAAAGCCTGCCTGTGGGGTGGTGGGGCTGTGTGACCTCTGGCCTCTCTGGGCAAGAGGGCAATCAACAGCCCCGTGGCCTGCCTGATGGCATTTAGGACAGGGACCAGGAGGTTGGTGAGGATTAGGGCAGAGTCTGACTCAATGACATGACTGACCACACCTGTAGCATGTTCCGGGGGTAGTCCTGTAGCAGCAGATTGTCGAGGTTCTTTGGCTAGCGTTTGATATTTAGTCTTGAGGGCCTCTCCATCTCTGCCCTTGTACACGTTGAAGGCCACCTCAAGCACTTGAGCCTGTGGGGTGAGGGGACCTCGCTCCAACCTTTTAAATTTAATGTCTTGGAAACTTTGGGAGAAGAAGATGTGTGGGAGAAGGACCTGAGCCAGGCGGTTTAGACAGGAAGAGGGGTTTATTCTGAGTGACTTCTTGGAGTTTATTATGATTGATGGCTTTATGAGCTGCCCCTTTTAAACCTGTCAGTAGGCAGGTGATGAATTGGTCCCTTCTTGTCTGGCCCCAGGGGCACTGTGATCCCAATGGGATCTCTGTCAGGACTGACTCTGTGCCAATAGGGTGATGGGGTGGTGTGTGACTCTGTCAGCATAGCTGCAGGCTGGTTCCCAGACTCATCCCGCTCCTCTGGGAGGACCAAGTGCATCTCATGAAAGGGGAGGCTGGTATTGTGTATGGTAACTCCTGGGTATAGGGGGCAGGGTTGCAGGTAAAGGACCCTAGGCGATCCTCAATTTAGGAGAGATCACCAAGAGAGAAGGGCACATGAATTCTGACCACCCCCGCAGACCCAGTGACTTCTCAGAGGGAGTTAAGGGGCGGGCCCTCGAGGGGCTGTGTGAGATCAGATGCCAGGAGGGCTGACAGGTGGGAGGGCTGACAGGTGGGAGGGCTGACAGGTGGGAGGGCTGACAGGTGGGAGGGCTGACAGGCAGAGCAAGTTGAATGGAAAATTTGTACATACAAATTTCTTAGCTTGGGTAGTGAAGGCTGTAGGGCTGGGGTGGATGGAGGCCACCACAGCTGGCTCAGAGGCTTCCTCCTCGCACTGGCACGATCCCAGTGATCAGAAGTTCAGGCTGTAGACACTGAGGGGCCTCAAACCTGGTGGAAACTTTTCATTATCTTGCTTTTAGTGGAGACCAGAAATAAAGCAATGTTAAACTCTCCATTGAGCAATAATCTATGGAAATCACATTTATAATGTTTATCACATTTATATTAATTATAATATAATATAATTATAAATATAATTATATTATATTATAATTAAAATATAATTATAATATAATATAATAATATTTATATTAAATTTGAATTACCCATTTTTAGTTTAGGCTACCCATGAAAAGCAAATTTAGTTAACATTTTTAAGTCATCCTTTTTTGTTGAAGGAAAATCTTTGAAGAAGTGATGGACATTAAAAGTAATGGACAGGGCTGGGGATGTGGCTCAAGCGGTAGCGCGCTCCCCTGGCATGCGTGCGGCCCAGGTTCGATCCTCAGCACCACATACAAACAAAGATGTTGTATCCGCCTAAAACTAAAAAATAAATATTAAAATTCTCTCTCTCTCTCTCTCTCACTCTCTCTCTTTCTCTCATTAAAAAAAAGTAATGGACATTATATTTAAAATATTTAACATAAAATGAGATTTTCCATTGTTTGATCATCTGGAAAGAAAATATGAGTTAGTGATTTTGAAGATATCATTACCTTTGTTTATCCAATTTATTTTTTTTATTTTTTTATTTTTTTTTAAAGAGAGAGTGAGAGAGGAGAGAGTGAGAGAGAGAGAATTTTTAATATTTATTTTTTTTTTAGTTCTCGGCAGACACAACATCTTTGTTGGTATGTGGTGCTGAGGATTGAACCCGGGCCGCACGCATGCCAGGCAAGCACGCTACCGCTTGAGCCACATCCCCAGCCCCTTTGTTTATCCAATTTAAACTGAACTTTAAATTACATGAATCAAAAATATTTGGATTCAGTTTTGAATTTTAGTTTAAGAGCACTTTATATGTTAGTTTTGATACACACACATACAGAAAAGACAAGAGAGTAGACGGAACAAATGAGTAAAGGCCTTATAACTTTTAAACTTATTAGATTAAGAGCCAACTTTTCTAAATTGGCCTCTGAGCAAAGCAGAGCATCAATGATTATGATTTATGCGTGCAGGATCAAGATTACGAGCTCAAAAATACAGAAATAAAAAAGTAAGAGTCCTAGGAAAAATGATATGGCCATAATTATTTAATTAAGCAATATGAGAAAATGAGAAAGGAGAGAGAGATTGTGAGAGGGAGGGAGGGAGGGAGAGAGAGAGAGAGAGAGAGGGAGGGAGGGAGGAAGTTTTGAAGTCATTCTTCTGTGTTGTAGCCAAAGGAAGTTAAATGACACTTTTTCTTTTTCTTTTCTTTTTAATCTCAGCCTCTCATCAAGCCTGCTGGGTCTGTCCTTTGTATTTCAATGTTAGCTTCAGTGTGTCCTTGGCCAGGGAGATGCTGCCAATAGAAGAAGGGAGGAGGTTCTGGGTCCCTTGATTGTCTACAAGCAGGGTCCCCGGAGGAATCCAGAGCTTTAGTGGCAAGTGGAGGCTGGGTGGGGGGCGAGAGGAGCAAGGGAAGGAGAAAGCCTGCAGGCCAGGGACTTCCTCCCATTTTCCTGAGCAGTCGCAGAAGTTATAAAGATCGCATAAGATACTGGGATCAAGGTGCCATTGGTGGCCACTGAGATGCACTGTCCAAGTCATGGGAGGGCCATGACTGGGTGGAAAGTTGAATTAGTCGACGGGCGGGCATTTAAATCTGGAGCCACACGGAGCGAGCGGGAGAGGTGAGTCAGATGGGATTCTGGACGGGGAGTTCCGGGGCAAGTTGGAGTGCTCCAGTGGCTAGAGGCAGGCGTCCGGCTCTAGGCCAAACCAGAGTGGGAGAGGGGACAGCAGTGAAAAGGGGTCTCGCCACACAATTCACTGGCCCTAGGGCTTAAGCCTTTCTGGGACTGCTACTTCCCTGGTCCCAACTCTGCCTGTAGAGACTCTCCTTTCGGGAGCTCTGCTGAGGAGCTGAGAACCAAGTGAGCTTCCAAGGGGCGGGGGATGGGAAGGGGGAGCATCTTGGTGCTGGGCCAGGCTCAGGGCTCAGTGCTCCGGGAGTAGACTTGTGGGGAGGGGCGGGGGGACTCACTTACCCAATGAGGCCCGTGTGGGGTTGAGGAGGAAGAGCCTGGGTGAATGGAGGAAGGCTTTGGTGATGGTCCTGGGCCCTCAGGCCAGGGTCCCAAAGCAGCTCCAGTCCCCGGAGGGGAGAGCAAAGCTGATGGGAGACCGCGATCTGAGTCACCGCACCCATGAAAGGAAAGTGGCGCAGGCTGATCCCACACACCTGGGACAGGAAGCCAGTTATTGTCAGGAGCCTGACAAGCTGCTCTGCACCAAGAGAGGGACAGCAGAGCAGCAGGAGAGCGCAGCCACTCCCGGGGCACTGTGATCCCAATGGGATCTCTGTCAGGACTGACTCTGTGCCAATAGGGTGATGGGGTGGTGTGTGACTCTGTCAGCATAGCTGCAGGCTGGTTCCCAGACTCATCCCGCTCCTCTGGGAGGACCAAGTGCATCTCATGAAAGGGGAGGCTGGTATTGTGTATGGTAACTCCTGGGTATAGGGGGCAGGGTTGCAACAGGGAACCAGTGTGTCCCCATCTCAGGGGCAGTACTTTGTCTCCTATCTCTCAGTGAGACCGGGAGAGACCAGCATGTGTCCAGGCTGCAGGCGGGTAGGTCTTATCTGGAGCCACTTTGTCATAAAGTGGGTGGGGAAGGAAGATGGCTGCAGCTGTGCTAACACTGGGGCAGACCACTCCGAACACTCTGAATTGGAGAGTCTTTATTAGCCAGCCAGCAACTGCTCCCCATAGAACCCAAAATTGTCTCTGCAGCCCTGAGCCTGAGCCTTCCAAGGTATTTAAAGGCAAAAACCACCTCTGGGTTGATGTAGCTGCATGCAAGCAGGTAACGAAGCTGGACTGAACAGTTAGCGAGACAACACAATGCCCATAACCATATTTTCATTCTGGGAATTTCCATGTTCATAAGCAGAAGGGAACTGGATCAAAATGACCCCAGTTGAATACAAGTTAAAGAATGATTACTAACATCTAGACAATCATCCTCTAAAAAGGTACATTGTCCAAGAAAAATGGGAACCAAAGAGAACAATTTTACATTGTATAAGAATTGCCCTTTTGTGTAGCCAAACCTGCTATCCTAAGACTACTAATAGGTACCGGGCAGGGGTGTTCCCATGGGAGAAGGATTTCTTTCTTTCTTTTTTTTTTTTTT